GCATTTCACGTGCTTCTCGTGAAAAATTTCACGTGGTCCTTCGTAAAAAAATTCACGTCAACGTGGCTTGGAGTAACACGTGCCGTTATAACGCATTGCACGCCGGAAAATCCCTACCTAGACAAAAACCCTAAACCCTGAACCCTAAACCCCTAAACCCTAAACCCTAAACAAAAAGCAGGACCAAGCACCTGCATTGGAATCAAGCTGAAAACCGCACAAATCATACAACAGAAGCCCACACGTTTAGGGTTGTGGGCTTCGGGTTTAGGGTTCAGGGTTTAGGGCAGACACCCTGATCCCTGAACCCTAAACCCTAAACCCTACACCCTACACCCTAAACCCTAAACCCTAAACCCCAACCCCTACACCCTACACGCCCTACATGCTACTGAGCAGTCCCTGCTTCTAGGCCACAGGCTGCTGCTGCTCCTCGTCGAAAGCTTTGAGCTCCGGGAAGGTGCGAGGCACATCCTTCCGTCCCCCTTTAAAGGTCCCTAAACCCCTACTTGGAGGTTCATGGGACTTAGTAAGTACAGTCATAAGTACCTTAATTGGTGTTATATGTACTTATAAGTATAGTTACGTTATTTATAACCTTAGTTACTAAGTCCCATGAACCTTTAAGTACCGTTACCCCACCAGAACCTACTGTTTTGTAGGGGTCCTTATTAAAATTCCATATCAGGGTCTATGATGAGATCCGACAAGAAGTAGGTAGGTTTTGGTAGGTTAAGGTCGACCCATGAACCCCCAATTAACCCTAAACCCGTGAACTCTGAACCGCCAGACTGGGTATAAAGGTTTACTTGAATATAGCGGCCTTAACAGTTAGAAGAGGGTTTTGGGGATTCATTATGCTCTAGTCATAATAAGGAGCCCCCCCCCCCACTCAAAAAAAAAAAACCTAGTCCAATTCTTAAGGCCCCTACTTTAGTCTCAGATCCTTTAGGGCGCTTGGGGCTTCGGTTCCGATTTCAAAGGGTTTAGAGTTTAAACCCTGAACCCTTTGCCCTAAACCCTAAACCCCTAAACCCTAAACCCTAAAACCCTAAACCCTAAACCCTAAACCCTAAACCGTTTGCCTTAGCTTTGAAGGCCAAGGCTCAGATCTTTTAGGGCGCTTGGGGCTTCGGGTTCCGATTTCAAGGGTTAACCCGGAGTACCCAATACCCCTTAGTTAAGGAATATACCTTAAAATCATACTATTAAGGCGCCTATAATGTAAGGTATATTCCTTAGTTAAGGGGTATTGGGTTCTCTGGCAACCCCCTCTGTCTGCTTCGCCTCTGTCACCCGGACCCCGGGAGGATCTAGAAAATAGAACGGTCGAACACCGAAGTCCTTTCTTAGGGCTTAGGGCTTAAACAGGTTTAGGGGTTTGAACACCAAAGTCCTTTTTTCAGGGCTTAGGGTTATTCTAAGGGTTTTAGGGGGTTTGAACACCGAAGTCCTTTTTCAGGGCTTAGGGTTATTCTAAGGGTTTAGGGGTTTGATAAGGGCTTAGGGTTTAGAATCTTCTAAGAGGAAGCCCTGATTGGGTAGCCTATACTACAAAACGGTAGTTTAAAGGAATCCCCCTTACGGGATCTGCTGTTTGCATTTTCCTAGGGGTCTAGGTTTCGACATCTGAACAAGGCTTGGGTTGAGGTTTTCAGGGTCTAGGGTCTGCGGAACCTAACACCTTGAAACCCATAGTCCTAACTCCCTACTTAGCCCTGCTTGAAGGAGCAGGTGACCCAGGAGACGTGACGAACAGCCTGTCAAGAGGGTCGTGCATTAAAGTGACAACACTTCAGAGGTGGTCGTCGTCGTCGTCGTCGTAGTAGTAGTAGGAGGAGTAGTAGTACTTACAACCCCAAGTATAATCTACTTACTCAGTCCCCCGAACCTCAAAGTAGGTCCATAGCTTTACATGTTGGAAAACCTAAACCCAGACCCCCGGGAGGATCCAAAAAGTTTTTTTTTTTGTAAGGGTGGGTTCCTATAAAGACCCTTTAGTAGTATAGGGTCCCAAATAAGGGGTTCTACTTTCTAGATCCTGTTGGGGGTCTGGGAAGAGGTGCCAAGCTGGGTTCCGCACGATTTCGATCGACGCAGTCCACTTGTTCTCTTGATCGCAGAGGCTGCCATAACTGAGCGTTTCTGAACCCGAAACCTTAAACCCTTAACCCAAACACCCAAAACCTTTACACCCTAAACCCAAAACCCTTCAACCATAAACCCTAACCCCTAAACCGCTTCTGTTCGTTCTGGGTTGAGGCTTCCATCAGACTTCGCGCCGCTGAGGCCTCTCTGAGGCTTCTACAAGGCTGTAACCAGCATATGAGGGCTTCGGCTTTAGGGGTTTACCGTTTATCGTGGTTCATTCTGGCAGGATATGAGTATATTACAATATAATAACCTATTGTGGCATGTTACAGTATTAGTGTAGTTACCTTATTTATAAGCCTAGTTACTAAGTCACATTGAACCTTCAAGTAGGATGAAGGGGACCCTTGGGGATATGGACCGTCTCAATAAGGTCCCTTTTAAGAGAGCCATAAGTAGGGTTCCGAAGGGTCCCCTTTAAGGCCTAAGAGTCTCCCTAATACTACCTAGGAACAACCTTACACCCCAAAGCACAGAACCCCGCCAAAAAAAAAACAGTGAACACACAATTTCTTAGTTGTGGGGAACTGGAGGCGAACCTTCGGGATATTAGAAGGCAAAAAATGGTTACGGGTTTAGGGGTTTAAAGTTTTGGGTCTCTGCTACAAGGATTTCGGGTTTAGGGCCATGTCATATGCAAATCCATAAGCCCCAGAACCCGAGACACAAGCGAAGTCCGGGAGACCTACCCAGACCCCCGCAAAGCTTTTAGAAAGTAGAAACCCCGAATTTGGGACCCTGGAAAACCCTAATGGGCACTATATACTACAAATGGGCACTTTACAGGAACTCTCTTAAGGGATCTCTAAACCCACTGTCTAGATCCTCCCGGGGGTTTGAGTATAAACCTTGAGCCAAGAAGCCCAAACCCCCGAAATGTGAAATCGCAAACGGCCTAGGGTTCAGGGTTTAAGGTTCAGGGTTTAGGGGTTAGGGTTTAGGGTTCAGGGTTCAGCGTTTAGGGCTTAGGGCTTAGGGTTTAGGGTTCAGGGTTTAGGGCTCGCGGTTTAGATCACGCAAACCGCAAAACCGCAACACATCCTGAACGTGAACACAGCCCTACGTTAACACCGACAGAACCCTTAGCCCTAGACCCGAAAACCACATACAGAACGCGCTTAAACCAACTCTCATTCCTCCAACAAGATGACACCATCAGAAATCGCTGTAACAAGCCGTATAGCTATACGGTTTTGGTTTAGGGCTCGGGGGTTCGGTCTTTAGGGTTCAGGGGGTTCTGGCCCAACGCCTCCAAAATATAGGAAATCAAACGTTAACAACTCCTCGATAGGAGCGCTGCGCACAATAGAAACCTTTCAACCTATATATATATATATATATACCTATATACACCCTTCAACTGTCCTTCCAAACTGGATTGAAGTGCTCGATAAGCGGGGCAGATTCCTTAATTCAGAGGTTTTGCAGGCTCTGGGCAATCAAACCCAGAACCCCCTAAGCCCACAACCCTGAAACCTAAACACTAAGCCGCCCCAAAGCCTAACCCCTAAACTCAAAACCCTAAACCTTGAAGCCTAAGGGACCTACCTTTTGGATCCTCCCATCCCTAAGCCCTAAACCCCTAAACCCCATAATTAAGCCCCATAAGACCAGCCCTGACCTAGACCCCCGGAAGGATCTGGAAAGTAGAAACCCTAATTATTTGGACCTTGCGCTACCAAAAGCTACGTTTTGGGAAAACTCCCCATGAAGGGATCTACTTGCAAAGCCCTACAATCCCCTATAAACCCCCGATAGTCCCTATACATCCCTTTAAGGAACCCTTTAAACCCTAAACCCTAAACCCTAAACCCCTAAACCCCTAAACCCTAAACCCCTAAACCCTAAACCCTAAACCCTTTAAAGGAACCCCCCTTTAAAACGGATCCTGCAAGGATTTCTGCGAAAGCACAGAGCGCCCGGCTCGGCCGCAGGCTCTGCGTCCAGCTGGGCCGCTGCCTTCCAAACACGCCACCTGGCGCTACTTAAAGGTTTAGGGTTTAGGGTTTAGGGTTTAGGGCACCTGGCGCTACTTAAGGGCTCATGGGACTTAAAGGTTTTAATTAAGGTAACTATACTTCTAGTTACTTATAACCCCAATTAAGGTACTTATAACTGTACTTAGTAGGTTCCATGAGCCTCCAAGCAGAGGGCTTCAGGGTTCTAGAGTCTTGAGGGTTTGGGTTCAGAGTTGTAGAGTTTTGGGGTTGGGTTTTAGGGCTTAGGGCTGTTTGGTTTGAGACTGTGCAGGGTCTTAGGGCCTTATAATGCTTTAGGGTCCCAGGGTTTTAAGGTGTTCAGGGCTTTGGGGTTTTAGGGTTTCAGGGCTCTTAAGGGGTCTAGGGCTTTGCGGTTTTAGGGTGTATATAAGGCTTTGGTTTAGATCTCCTCTGGGTTTTCGGGGCTTAGGGCTTTGGGGTTTTAGGGTTGCAAGTTGCAAGGCTTCGGGTTTAGGGCTTTAGGGTTTTTCGGGTCTACGGTCTAGGGTCTTTTTGAAGCAGCAATCTTTGCGAGGTTTATGAACCCAAAATAATTCTTAAACCGTGTGCTTGTTGGTTTAAGTTTTCCCTAGACCCTAAACCCAAACCCCTAAACACCTAAAAAACTTTAAGCCCTAAAAAGCCCTAAACCCTAAAAAGCCTTAAGTCCTAAAAACCCCTACACTCTAAACCCTAAACCCCTAAACCCTAAACCCTAAACGCCCCTACACCCTAAGCCTACACCTTTTCTTCGGCAACAGCTCTTGGGTGTGGACGTCTGGGGTTCAGCATGCCCCGGCAGGATGCAGAAAGTAGAACCCCTGAGTTGGGAACACTCTACTACTACCCAGACCGCCGGAAGGATCTAGAAAGTAGAACCCCTAAACTTGGGACCCTATACTACTATAAGGGCTCTTTATAGGAATCCCCCTTAAGGGATCTACCTTTTTGGATCCTCCCGGGGGTCTGGGTAACGGGTACTGTATAGGAACCACCTTACGGGATCTATTTTCTAGAAGCCTCCCCTGGGTCTGCAGTGTCCAGGGTAGAGGAAACTAAGCTACCAGCTTGAAACCGGCAAACGCTGCCACGGCTTGAACGTCCGCGAGGCAGTAGTGCAACACTATAGGGGCCTTAATAATTAGCATTATGGAACTTCTACCCCAGACACCCGGGAGGCCAAAAAGTAGATACCTTAAGGGGGGTTCCTATAAAGTACCCTTTTAGTAGTGTAGGGTATCAAATTAGGGATCGACTCTTTAGATCCTCCCAAGGGTCTTGGGCGGTGCTACTTGAAACATCATGGACCTTATGAACTAGGGATGCAAAGAAGGTAGCTATCATAACATCTTATGACTACTTGCAACCCCAATTAAGCTACTTGTGACCTTACGTGCTCAGAAAACAAACAGTTCAGTCATAGATGACTTTTCATTCAGTTTGAATACCTGCAGCAATGTGTGTGCATGCATTGTTCAAGCTTCCGTCGGGGGTACTGCTTCACGAAGTGTTCCTTCAAAAGATCGTCAGGCGTTTGCTAAGACGAAGCTTCTTCATCAAATTGAATGGTTACAGCCTTACACTAAACAACCGCAACATGCCCTTGATGGGTTCTCCAAGTAGTACGGCACCCTTATCAAAAAGGACCCTAAAAGGGACCCAAATTTAGAGGACTACCCGAGTGTCTCCGCCTGGCCTGTCTCCTGCCAGCAAGCGATCGACAAGCTTTGCGTACATCAGTGCGCGCGGGTGTAGGCTTTCGGGGTTTAAAGCCCCCTGTTGGGGAGAGCTTTTTCAAGATCTCAATCACACTCGACAAGTCAGCACGCTGATCGCCGAGCTCGCGCAGAAGTGCTGCTACGGCATCATCCATCTCTTCCATCGACCTCTGGTCATTCGCAGCAGCAGCTAGAAAGCATCCAAAGGCTGCGCCCAAACCTGCGGCCACACACGTACCAGAGTCTTCTTCGACAGCAACTGTAACTTCCTCCGCGGAGCTGGGCTCGTCGAAGTAAGATGCGGAAGCAGCCATGAGGTCTAAGCTGGACCGATCAGCCAACTACTGTTGATGATACAGTAAAACCTGCATCACCTTAAAGACCCTAAACGATGGGAAGTATGGTATATTCCTGATTATGGGTAATGCAGGATTTATATCATCAACTGTATGGCTTGTTGCGGAAATCTTTTTCTAGAAAAGCGGATCTGACAGTGACAGGACTGCCTTTGGGCAATACTTTCGGCCTTTTGTCCATGAAAAGATATGCCATGCATGCCCCAAAAACTCTATTCCAATTAGAAGGATCCCTGTGCCAGTTTCAGAGTCTTAGAACCCGAGAAGCTAGAACTCTAAACCCCCTACTCAAAACCCGAGAACCCCTAACCAAAAAACCTTAAACCCTAAACCCCTACACGAAAAGGCCTTAAACCCTACACCCTTAAGACAAACACCTTAAGCCCTAAACCTTGAACCGAACCCGAAACCCCTGAACACGAAACCCTCCACAGCAGATCCGGTTCCCCAGTATCCTCCCCACTTGAATCGCCTTCCCGTCCTAGACCACCGGAAGGATCTAAAAAATGAGGGGCTCTTTGAAGGGATCTATAGGGACTATAGGGGATCTATAGGTGGGGTTTAAAGGGCTTTGGGAGTAGATGCCTTCATGGGGGGTTCCTATGAAGTACCCCTTAGTAGTATAGGGTCCCAGCTTAAGGGATCTACTTTCTAGATCCTTCCGGTGGTCTGGGTTAAGATAAGGAACCCTAAACCCTAAAGCCTGAACCGGCTGGATGATAAACCCTCCCTTACCCAGACCCCCGGAAGGAGCCAAAAAGTAGAACCCCTAGTTTGGGACCCTATATTACTAGAGGCTCTCTATAGGAATCCCCGTTAAGGGATCTACTTTTTGGATCCTCCCGGGGAGGTCTGGGATAGCAGAACACGCATGCCACCACACCTAAACCCTAAACCCTAAATCCTAAATCCTAAACCCTAAGCCCTAAACCCTAAACCCTAAAACCCTAAACCCTAAACCCTAAACCCCGAACACCTAAACCCTAAACCCTAAAGGATCCCCGAAGGAACCACACGTCCGGTCCGCCTAAACTCCGGGGGAATCCCCCTGCGCACACGGCGCTTGAAACGATCAGGGTGCTGCTCCATGTACCTTTTAGGGTTTAGGGCTTAGGGTTTAGGGTTTAGGGTTTACGGAATTCAGGTGATTCCCAAGGAATTCGGGCTCCTTATAGGGTGTGGGGGTTTAGGGTTCAGGGGTTTTAGGGTTTAGGGGGTTTAGGGTTTAGGGTTTACGGTTTCGGGTTTTAGGGTTTAGGGTTTTAGGGTTTAGGGTTTTAAGGTTTAGAGCTTTGGGTTTAGGGGGTTTGGGGGTTTAGGGCTTTCGATGCTTCATGTCCCTGTCAGCCTATAAAGTTGAAGAAGGGGTTCAAGAGAAGGGGTGTAGGCTGTATAAGGATTTGGGTTTAGGGATTAGGATTTAGGTTTCTACAGGAGTTTGTTCTGTAAGGGTTCTATCAAGCTTCCAAAAGGGTCCTATACTGGATTCCACTAGATTTTTCGGTATGTGTTGGCTGATATGGGTTCTGCGAAGCTCGAAATGGCTTCTATACGGTATCCAGAACCGTAACCCCAAACCCTAAACCCTAAACCCTAAACCCTAAACCCCTAAACCCCTAAACCCCTGAACCCTAAACCCAGACCATTTGAAGGCTCAAAAGAGTCTACGTCTGGTGAACTTGGAGTTAGGTTTAGGGATTGAGTGGCATAGGGTGTAAGACAGGGGCCTTAATAATGAGAATAGCGTTTCGGGTTTAGGTTTCCTTTAAAAGGGGTCTGAAAGTGTTACTATAAGGGCTCTATAATGTAGGGGCCTTAATACTTAGAACAGGGTTGTGGGGTATCTTATACTATATCTATAATAAGGACCCCCCCCAAAAAAAACAAGTGTAGGTACGGTAATTATCAAGGCCCTTAGATTTGGGGTTTGGCGGTGTCGGGTTCAGGGTTGCGTTTAGGGTTTACAGGTTTAGGGTTTAGAGTTTAGGGGTTTAGGGTTTCGGGTTTAGTGGTTTGAGAAGGGTTCTATACCCAGACTCCACACAGGATCCCAATGACAAAACCCAAGATCAGCTAGGTAGGTATGTAACGACTTATCGCATGAAAAATCACGGTCGTCCCGTGCTCATAGGTTCACTCAGTGTTGTTTGTCCCTAAACCCTGAACCCTAACATCCTTTAAAGGTTCAGGGCATAAGAGTTGTATGAGGGTTCTAGATGAGTTCTACACGGGTTCCTGGGGTTCAGGGTGTGGCGCTCAGAGTCCTACTTGGAGTTTCGGTTTAGGGTTTAGGGTTTAGGGTCTGGGTTTTCGGGACTTAAAAAGTACAGTTACAAGTACTTTAATTGGGTTATTATAAGTACTTACCAGTATAGCTACCTGATGTTTAAAACCTTGCTACTAAGTTGGTAACACGAGCTACTAAGTCCCACGAACCTTTAAGTAGAGTTTACTTGGAGTGTCGGGGGACTTAGTAAGTAGGTATTAAGTAGACTCTAGAAGGGTTCTAATTGCAACTACTTCGTAAGTCCCCCGACTCTCCAAGTAGGGCTTCAGAGGTTAAGGTTCCAGGGCTTAGGAAAGAGGAGAGAGTTTGTTATGGTTTGGGGGGAGCAAGAGGTTGGGTCTGGAATTCGAATACCTAGTGTTAAGGGGTAATGTAGGTGCCTTAATAATTACAATACGGTTTGGGTGTAAGTTATACTATAAAAAGAACAAGGAACCCCCAAAAGCCTATTCTAATCGTTAAGGCTCCTATGGTAAACGCTACACGCTCTCATATCGACCACAACCTACTAGTCTATAAGTCTTGGGCTCCGTGTATATTTAGAGGCATCGCTCAAGCGGGTTGGGGAGGAACCGCAAAAACACCAAGAACCTCCCCCAGAGCCCTGCACAAATCTAGAAAGTAGAGGACTTCCT